TTTTATAAAAAAATAAAAACTTTTGAAAATCTGGCCAGTTGGCTTAATCTCAAATCCAACAAATTTTTTTAAAGAACAACCATTATTGGGACCCAGCGCTGCATTCCCACCATTTGCTGCTGCAGAATTTCATCCCACCACACCGGAAAATTGGAAAGGCGCCAACATCCATCCAACTGGTCTAATGAAAGAGCCAACTGTTGTACCCGGTCGCAATGCGGCTGTAGCAGCATTTACCGCACAAGGACAGACACAGGTAAGTGAAGACCTCTACCATCCTTCTGAAGAAATAACTGTTCTCTAGGAAAGTGTGAACACATTAGTCTAGTCTATAGTCGTCTAGTATAGCTAGTCTATAGTCTATTTTTATAGTCTAGTCTATAGTCTAGTCCATAGTGTAGTCTATAGTCTAGTCTAAGTCTAGTCTAAATCTAGTCTAAAGTCTAGTCTATAGTCTAGTCTATAGTCTAGACTATATAGTTTAGCCTATAGTCTAGACTATATATAGTCTATAGTATAGTCTAGTCTATAGTCTAGTCTATAGTCTAGTCTATAGTCTAGTCTATAGTCTAGTCTATAGTCTAGTCTATAGTCTAGTCTATAGTCTAGTCTATAGTCTAGTCTATAGTCTAGTCTATAGTCTAGTCTATAGTCTAGTCTATAGTCTAGTCTATAGTCTAGTCTATAGTCTAGTCTATAGTCTAGTCTATAGTCTAGTCTATAGTCTAGTCTATAGTCTAGTCTATAGTCTAGTCTATAGTCTAGTCTACAGTCTAGTCTATAGTCTAGTCTATAGTCTAGTCTATAGTCTAGTCTATAGTCTAGTCTATAGTCTAGTCTATAGTCTAGTCTATAGTCTAGTCTATAGTCTAGTCTATAGTCTAGTCTATAGTCTAGTCTATAGTCTAGTCTATAGTCTAGTCTATAGTCTAGTCTATAGTCTAGTCTATAGTCTAGTCTATAGTCTAGTCTATAGTCTAGTCTATAGTCTAGTCTATAGTCTAGTCTATAGTCTAGTCTATAGTCTAGTCTATAGTCTAGTCTATAGTCTAGTCTATAGTCTAGTCTATAGTCTAGTCTATAGTCTAGTCTATAGTCTAGTCTATAGTCTAGTCTATAGTCTAGTCTATAGTCTAGTCTATAGTCTAGTCTATAGTCTAGTCTATAGTCTAGTCTATAGTCTAGTTATAGTCTAGTCTATAAGTCTAGTCTATAGTCTAGTCTATAGTCTAGTCTATAGTCTAGTCTATAGTCTAGTCTATAGTCTAGTCTATAGTCTAGTCTATAGTCTAGTCTATAGTCTAGTCTATAGTCTAGTCTATAGTCTAGTCTATAGTCTAGTCTATAGTCTAGTCTATAGTCTAGTCTATAGTCTAGTCTATAGTCTAGTCTATAGTCTAGTCTATAGTCTAGTCTATAGTCTAGTCTATAGTCTAGTCTACACAGAGGGAAAAAGAAATATACACGCTTGGTACCAAATTGGCACCAAAGAGTTTGTAATTTTTCAATAACAACCGTTGTCAAAGTATATACATACGTACGACAACACTATGTCGCAACGTTGTCAACATTGCAACAATTCGTTGTCGAAATCTAAATTTTTTACACATACGTTGTCTAAATGTTAACAAACGTGGTAAGCTCACTATTGGCAACGGATTGTTTGCAATAGTGAACGTCTAGTCTATAGTCTAGTCTATAGTCTAGTCTATAGTCTAGTCTATAGTCTAGTCTATAGTCTAGTCTATAGTCTAGTCTATAGTCTAGTCTATAGTCTAGTCTATAGTCTAGTCTATAGTCTAGTCTATAGTCTAGTCTATAGTCTAGTCTATAGTCTAGTCTATAGTCTAGTCTAAAGTCTAGTCTATAGTCTAGTCTATAGTCTAGTCTATAGTCTAGTCTATAGTCTGGTCTATAGTCTAGTCTATTATCTAGTCTATAGTCTAGTCTATAGTCTAGTCTTTAGTCGAGTCTGTGTTCTAGTCTATAGTCTAGTTTATAGTCTATAATCTAGTCTATAGTCTATTCTATAGTCAAATCCATAGTAGTCTACAGTCCAGTATATAGTCTATAGTCTAGTCTATAGTCTGGTCTATAGTCTAGTCTGTAGTCTAGTCTATTGTATAGTCTATAGTCTAGTCTATAGTCTAGCTTATAGTCTAGTCTATAGTCTAGTTTATAGTCTAGTCTATAGTCTAGTCTATAGTCTACACAGTTTGTCTTCAATTAATTTAATTGTTGTTCCTTTTTTCAGGGTGCTGTCATGATGGTTTACGGTTTGGATCATGATACATCGAATACAGATAAACTTTTCAATTTGGTTTGCTTATACGGAAATGTTGCAAGGGTAAGTTTGTTTTATTTTAATAATTTTAACTTCAAATAAAATTTTAAACAATAGAAGATGATTAATTTCCACAATTTGTTTGCAAGTCTGCAAAACATTTGAATATTTTTTCCCAGAAAAAAGTACAAAAGCTTAAAAAGATAATTAGTTTTTAAATAAAACTAAAATATTTTTCTTTCTCATAGAGAAGAAAAGTAAGAACCCAGGGAAAATGGGAAAGGCAGGGTTATTGTTTGAAATCAGACAAAAAAAGGTTTGGGGCTGAACAAAAAAAAAGGGTTTACAATAAGATTTCTTGAATCCAGTTTTATATGAAAAGATTTATTAGCATTTTCCTTAAGCCTTAAGGATTGACTGCATAGTTTTTTTTACAATTATTCTATACAATTATTATTAAATTCATTTAATTTAAACTAAATTTTCTTTGAAATATCTTACTAATCCACAAAAACTTCTAAGTTTTTCTCTGTGACCCTGAAAATCTCTAACATATCCTTAAATAATACACACTTTTTCACTCACAACAGTTTCTGTTTATTTTTATTCTTATTTTTGTTGTTGTTTATATAAAATCTTTTGCTGTTGTAAGTCTTTCTTCGTTTTTTTGCACGTGTCAAGGTGAGATTAAAAACTAAATAGAATATAATTACAAATACATATGTACATACACCTTTTAATATACCTCCCCCTACATTCCCTTCTCTTGACTTTATAATCACTCTAACAGGGATGGAAATGTCATGACTTCTTCGGAAGTTTTGCAAAGTATATTTACAACTAACTAAAGTCTACTTTATAGTCGAATGTAAACTATAGAAGAGACTATTGACTAGACTATAGACTAGACTATAGACTAGACTATAGACTAGACTATAGACTAGACTATAGACTAGACTATAGACTAGACTATAGACTAGACTATAGACTAGACTATAGACTAGACTATAGACTAGACTATAGAGACTATAGACTAGACTATAGACTAGACTATAGACTAGACTATAGACTAGACTATAGACTAGACTATAGACTAGACTATAGACTAGACTATAGACTAGACTATAGACTAGACTATAAACTAGACTATAGACTAGACTATAGATTAGACTATAGACTAGACTATTGACCAGACTATAGACTAGACTAAAGACTAGACTATAGACTAGATTATAGACCAGCCTATAGACTAGATTATAGACCAGACTATAGACTAGACTAGACTATAGACTAGACTAGACTATAGACTAGACTAGACTATAGACTAGAATAAACTATAGACCAGACTATAGACTAGACTATAGACTAGGCTATAAACTAAACTATAGACTAGACTATAGACTAGACTATGGACTAGACTATAGACTAGACTATAGACTAGACTATAGACTAGACTATAGACTAGACTATAGACTAGACTATAGACTAGACTATAGACTAGACTATACTAAACTATAAACTAGACTCTATACTAGACTAGACTCTATACTAGACTAGACTATAGACTAGACTAGACTATAGACTAGACTATAGACTAGACTATAGACTAGACTATAGACAAGGCTATAGACTAGACTATAGACTAGACTATAGACTAGACTATAGACTAGACTATAGACTAGACTATAGACTAGACTATGGACTAGACTATAGACTAGACTATAGACTAGACTATAGACTAGACTATAGACTAGAACTATAGACTAGACTATAGACTAAGACTTACTAGACTAGACTATAGAATTAGACTATAGACTAGACTAAGACTAGACTATCGACTAGACTATAGACTAGACTATTGACTAGACTATAGACTAGACTATAGACTAGACTATAGACTAGACTATAGACTAGACTATAGACTAGACTATAGACTAGACTTAGACTAGACTATAGACTAGACTATAGACTAGACTATAGACTAGACTAGACTATAGACTAGACTATAGACTAGACTATAGACTAGACTAGACTATAGACTAGACTATAGACTAGACTATAGACTAGACTATAGACTAGACTATAGACTAGACTATAGACTAGACTATAGACTAGACTATAGACTAAACTATAGACTAGACTATAGACTAGACTATAGACTAGACTATAGACTAGACTATAGACTAGACTATAGACTAGACTATAGACTAGACTATAGACTAGACTATAGACTAGACTATAGACTAGACTATAGACTAGACTATAGACTAGACTAGACTATAGACTAGACTATAGACTAGACTAGACTATAGACTAGACTATAGACTAGACTATATACTAGACTATAGACTAGACTATAGACTAGACTATAGACTAGATTATAGACTAGACTATAGACTAGACTATAGACTAGACTAAACTATAGACCAGACTATAGACTAGACTATAGACTAGGCTATATACTAAACTATAGACTAGACTATAGACTAGACTATAGACTAGACTATAGACTAGACTATAGACTAGACTATAGACTAGACTATAGACTAGACTATAGACTAGACTATAGACTAGACTATAGACTAGACTATAGACTAGACTATAGACTAGACTATAGACTAGACTATAGACTAGACTATAGACTAGACTATAGACTAGACTATAGACTAGACTATAGACTAGACTATAGACTAGACTATAGACTAGACTATAGACTAGACTATAGACTAGACTATAGACTAGACTATAGACTAGACTATAGACTAGACTATAGACTAGACTACAGACTAGACTACAGACTAGACTACAGACTAGACTATAGACTAGACTATAGACTTGACTATAAACTAGACTATAGAAAAGACTATAGACTAGACTATAGACCAGACTATAGACTAGAATATAGACCAGACTATAGAGTAGACTATAGACTAGACTGTAGACTAGACTATAGACTAGACTAAAATTAGACTATAGACTAGACTATAGACTAGACTATAGAGTAGACTGTTGACTAGACTATAGACTAGACTGTAGACTAGACTATAGACTAGACTATAGACTAGACTATAGACTAGACTATAGACTAGACTATAGACTAGACTATAGACTAGACTATAGACTAGACTATAGACTAGACTATAGACTAGACTATAGACTAGACTATAGACTAGACTATAGACTAGACTATAGACTAGACTATAGACTAGACTAGACTAGACTAGACTATAGACTAGACTATAGACTAGACTATAGACTAGACTATAGACTAGACTATAGACTAGACTATAGACTAGACTATAGACTAGACTATAGACTAGACTATAGACTAGACTATAGACTAGACTATAGACTAGACTATAGACTAGACTATAGACTAGACTATAGACTAGACTATAGACTAGACTATAGACTAGACTATAGACTAGACTATAGACTAGACTATAGACTAGACTATAGACTAGACTATAGACTAGACTATAGACTAGACTACTAGACTAGATAGACTAGATAGACTAGACTATAGACTAGACTATAGACTAGACTATAGACTAGACTATAGACTAGACTATAGACTAGACTATAGACTAGACTAGACTATAGACTATACTATACTATAGACTAGACTATAGAGCCTAGTTTATAGTCTAGCCCATAGTCTAGTCTATAGTTCCAACAACTTGCCATGACTGATTTCTACCACTTGAGTAAGAAAATCTGTATTTACATTAAACATGTTTTATTTTGATTATTTTTTCATCTTCTTTTGTATGCTTAGTGTTGTTCTACTCATTATATTGAATGTTATAGTTGTTGTCCTTAGAACAACAACAATTTCTAATAACAAAAAAAAAACAACAACAAATATAATTATTATGATACTTTTGTTGCAAATTCAAAATAATAATACAAAACAAAACCAGCAAAAGAGAGAAAAAACTAAGTCATATCAAAACAATAAACAAAATCTCAAAGGTACAATTGACAATAAACAACAACAACAATATAAAAATAATAAATAATAACAAAAACTAACCAAAAGCCAAAGCAAAACAATAAAAAAAACAATTTAACATGAAAACAATGTTTTGGAGAGTTTTTTTTTATGGAAAATAATATGAAATGGAATTGTGTTAAGTGGTAAAATGAAAATGAGACCTCAACCGAAATGAGGGAACAGGGATATTAAGTAGAGTTCTATTGTTTTTATTTTGTGCTCTGGCGAGGGTCATAAATATGAAAAAAATTATAATAAATTTACAAGGTTAGATAGAACGTTTATGATAAAAAGAAAAACTCTATTGAAAAAAGTTTAGATTTGTTTACTGGGGAGAACAGTTTTCTTTAGAAAGAAGGTTTTCAAGGACTTCTTACGAGGACAGTTTTCTTAAGGAAAGTGTTTTCTAAGGACAGTTTATCTTATAAAAGTGTTTTGGACAGAAAAGTTTTCTTAAGGGAAGTGTTTTACATGGATAGTTTTCTTTAAAGAAAGTGGTTGCGAGGGGAGAATTTTTAAATGTATTGCGAAGGCAGTTTTCTTAAAAAAAGATATGGCAGGACAGTTTTTTCCAAAAGTTTTCTGCAAGGGCAGTTTTACTTATAAAAGTTTTTTACAGGGACAGTTTTCCTTGAAAAAGGTGCTTTGCGAGGTCTTCTTTAGAAGAGAGTGTTGTGAGAGCAGTTTTCTATAGAAGTGTTTTCTTAGGGCAGTTTTTTAATAAAACATTTTAAAGCAAGGAAAGTTTTCTTTAGAAGAGAGTTTTGCGAGAGCAGTTTTCTTTAGAAAGATATGCGAGGAAAATTTTCTTTAGAAAACTGTTTTTTGAGGCCAGTTTTCTTTAGAAAAGTATTTTGCAAGGACAGTTTTCTTCAAAGTGTTTTTGGTGGGCAGGTCAGTTATCTTTAGAAGAGAGTATTGCGAGAGCAGTTTTCTAAAAAAACAATGTTTCACGAGGACAGTTTTTCTTTAAAAAAGCGTTTGGCGAGGATAGTTTTCTTTAGAAAGTTGTTATGCGAGGGCAGTTTTCTTCAGAAAACTGTTTCATGAGGATAGTTTTCTTCAG